CGATTGTCTGTCTTATTTCTTGCAGCACGATTGCGTTTTCGTTTACCGATCGCGTGCAGTAAAATTTACAGAAAATCAAGAAAAAGAAAAAAAGAAGAAAAAGAAAAAATGAAGAAAAAAAGAAGAAGAAGACGAAGAATAGCAGAGATCGAAGAGAGCAAGCGTAATGTTAAGCTTAGCTGGTTGAACACGGGTCAAATATACTGCACGATTGACGCATTTGGTCCCCTTCAACCAGCTGTAGTTGACATTAACCTACAACTCCATCACAAGTTTCGTCCTTGCACCACAATCTCTAATGGATGTCGTATCACTTTTTGCAAATGAAATTCTTGTATATTGGTTAATATTATAATTTGCTTGTAGTTACCTCGTTACATTTTACAAACTATATTCTGAATTATCAAATATTTTAATCAAAAAAAAATTGTATTTATATTTTAATATTTTCCAATGTCTCCCACATTATCAAAAAAATATTTTTTAATAATAAATAGTCTTTTCTAATAAATTGCTTTAATCATATTAATAATAAACTGTAAACGAAAATTGTAATAGATTAGAAAGAAGGAAGATATTTTGAAAAACGTCTTTGCCCCGCTCTCCCCTAATCATCATATTAACAAAAATTCCCAAGAGCGACACCGAAATAATTTTAATCAAAACTTATTTTCCAAATAATTCAAATTCCTTTGTAATTTCCCTCCTGAAAGTCTTATTATTTTACCGTTTCAACATGTTTTGCTTTTTATAAAAAAAATAACTGTTGTAAAAAATGTCTGAATCGACGCTCGATGTTAATAAAAGGACCATGCACGCTCGTGGTAAACCGAAAACGTAAAATTACACTGTGTGGATTAATTTTAATTTTCTAAAAGTAAAATTTATTACAAAAAAAAAATTGTAATTTTCTAATCAAGATAGGAATTTTCTTAAACAATTACATTTTAAAGTTTAATCTGTATTTAAATAATATAAATATATTTATTAATAATGAGAAAACAATTAATAAAGATAAAGAAATATTTATATAAGATTAAAAAAAAATTTTATTTTAATAAAATACAAAAAAATATATTTCCTTTTGTATCCTGGAATTATTTATAGGTATTAATTGCTAAATAGTGTTAATCGAATTATATTGTGGATTTATCCTTTCTTATATGAAATAAAATAAGTAATACTCTAATAAAATAGAAATATTAAATCAAAAAAAGAAATTTATTTTTGAAAATTTTCACTTCTTTGGGAATTTTAGTTTTTCCAGAAATTCCATGTGCTTTAGACATTAATTACTTTTGATCTCTTTGATGTAACTTTAATATATACCACTTAAGATGTCTCAAGTTTTAGACTGTATTTATTATAAGAAAACAATTCAAAGAGAATCTACTAAATTGACAATACAATAAGAAAATTGAATTAAATGTATAGTCATGAAATTCTTACTGAGGTATACAAAATTTGCAAACATATATTAATTATATCAAATTAATAAAGCAATCAAATTAAAATTTCGCTATCTTCAATAAACTGTTTAAAAAAAAGCTTTTTACAAAATAGATAGAAATTTAAATAAAGTTACAAATTATATTTCGATATAATTTGTTAGGGTGTCACATATTATAATTATATTACAATTTTTTTTTATGAAAAACGCATACTTTTAATTACCCGTACCTCATTCTGAAATATATAAATGAAAATTCTTATCTTGATAAAATATCTTCTATTGTTTTCGATTATTATCACTATTATAGAATATATTTATCTCCAAATCCACGAGGCTAGTAATAGTTATGCAGATGTTCGAGTCCTTTTCTTCAGGGAGACGCTCGTTGTGATTTTACCTCAAAATGTCGGGACTTATGTGTTTCGAAGTTGCTCCCGCATATAGTGACATTATCCCGTGTAGAAATGTCCCTAAGCTTCCCAACGTGATAATGGATTCCGACTAGAACCGCGCTAGAAAATCTAGCCTAGAAAAGTCGTACTCGAACCTGATTAGATTCTTGTGAGAAATTCAGACTAGAAATATCTGCTGAGATCCCGTTTGAATTCTAGAAAAGCAATTCAAACTAGAAAAATCTGATTAAGCCCTTACTAAATTCTAGCCAGAAATACCTCGAATCGGACTTAGATTATTTTTCGATGTTTTCTTTATTTAAAATATGTATGAATTTAATTATGTTCAATAAGGGACACAAATATTTTTAAAATGTTCGTTTTAGAAATAATAATAAAAAGAATAAATATTAATAATAATACATTATAATAATAAAATTATTAAATAAATTAAATTTATTATTAAATACCACCGAGTGATAGAATCAAAATAATATTATTAATAAATTACATTATTATATATAGTTTCACTTTTTATTTAATTTAAAAATAATATTTAAATTTAAATCGAAAATATCGAAATCGATGTATCGAAGTTTTCAATATATCGATGTTCCATCGTCGAGAATGATGACATGAATGGTGCAAGTGCACATGTCATTTTGTGTGAACCTGAATTTTATTGTTCTTTTGTTAATTAATAATGGAAAATAATCACTCATCTTCTTTATCAGAAGGTAAATATTAACATAATATTATCCATTTAAGAATATTTAATATTAAGCCAACAAACATGAAATATGTACTTAGAATATTAAAAGTAAAAAATATATTGATTGGTTTTCTAACCTCAAATTTTGTCTCTATGTTAATATCATTATTGCAAATTTTTAATTTTTACTATGATTATTCCAATTTCTTCAGGTAATATTATGATTTCTAACTTTTTTATTTATAATTCTGGTTAAAATTTGTGTTAGTACTGTTTGGAGGTTAGGAAGTTCAATTGAACTTCACGGCTATAATAAATAGCATAACGGGCGTTTTTAACTCTACAATTTCAAAAACACACACGGAAGAAAGGACGTTGGATCTTTATATAAATATGTTTTTTGGATTTATTAAATATTTATTAATTTTATTATATTAATTTTTATTTAATAATAATCGATTAAAGAGAGCTAATAGGGTTCTAGCGAGAACCCTTTACTTCTGGTAGGGAAATGCTAGATCCCTACCAACATTCCTCGCTGGCGTCGATCGTGACGAAAAATGCCGGGTCCCGCCTAGAGTTTCCCTTCCGGAACCCATCTGGCAAAATGGACGCACAGTGAGGTCCCTATTAAAATCTAACTCAAATTTCTGCACAGGTAGTAACTTTTGTATTTTCTACTGCTTGCGTGCAGTTCTGCGGAGTAGTCTAGTCACTTATGAATATAGATATAGTTTAGTTCCTTTCTGGCTGTTCTCAGATTATAAGGTTATATTGTGACATACCTCTTTATATTTATGGAGTCAGATATTATTTTATGGACGCGTGATAAATAGGAATCCTTCTTAATATAATATAATAGAAATCCCATAAAAATAGTAAAACTGCGCCCACTGTCGGTGTAAATTTACAAACTTGAATAATATTACTTTGATAGTTAATGTAAATTTTTGTGTACATTTTTTACAGTTTATGTAAAGTATAATGTTACTCGTTCAATATATAAACTCATGATTAAAATTATTACTTCCACAATAAGATACTTTATTCCTTCTTAGTACAAATATAAATATATATTTATATTTTATATTTTTTTAATGACAATAATTACAAATTATTAAATATACAAAATTCAAAATTTTTGTCTTTTAGAAGATCGTGTGACGTTACTCTCTAAATTTGAATTAGCTAAAATTTCACTGTTTGAATTAGCGAATAAAGTTTTCACTGCAAATCAGCGGATACAGCTAATAAAATAGCGAAACATGAATCGGCGAAATTCGGTCATTTTCGTCAGAAGATAAATTTATTTTTAAAATGGAGTATTCCGCTGATTGAAATAGTTGTTAGTCGCTGATTCGCAGCTGCATACTTATAGCTTTTTCAATCAGCGACTATTCGCTGCCAATCAGCGGATTTTAGCTGATTCAAATTTAGAGAGTACAAGATAAAAAACCGCTGCCAAGTTGAAGTATGTATTTTTGTGTTCATTCCATGAACACTTTGCTTCCTCATGGAGATATTTTGCGATCAGTTTACGATTTTTTATTTATATTTATTTATATAATAATAAGTAAAAAATTAAACTAAAAATTAAAATAAAATAATGTGTGTATAACACACAAAAAATGAACAAAAAATGCAAACAGGTTTTTATCAATATTATTTATTTTTAAAATGTCAATAACTTTGGATAAAGTAATCGTAAAATGTTCGTTAATAGGTCAAAAGATGCGTCTTGAAAATCTCTACAAAATGAAACTAAAAAAACTGTAGGTGTCATAACATTTTTTTAAAGTTATGAGCAAAAAACGATTTTTTATGATTTTTAAAATGTCAATAACTTTGGATAAAATAATCGTAAACTGTTCGTTAATAGGTCAAAAGATGCGTCTTGAAAATCTCTACAAAATTAAGTAAAAACATCCCAACTTTCAAAACATGTGTTTCAAGTTATGGGCAAAAAACGATTTTTCAAAAATTTTAAAAGTCAAAAAAAATATAGTTAATATGTATTAATTTGTCCCAAAGTTTTCTCATTTTATGTCCCCAAGTGAGATCTACAATTTAAAAAAAAATTCAGCCCTAAAGTTCTTATAGAATTTGAGATATTTATGAAAATGTAATGTATATACACACACACACACACATACGGAATGACATTTTCTAAAAATGTCATTTTTGGATTCCTGAGGTCAAAAAACATAAAGATATGTCAAAAAAATGAGTTCGAAAAATTTCGCGAAAACAATACTTCCTCCATGAGGAAGCAATACTTAATCGTTTATATAATCGTCAATTTTTTATTCGCAGCTAATTGTAACTTTTAATGACTCGTTTTTTGAAAGACAAAATTAATCATACTTTCACCACAAAAATAACGTAAAAAATGTGTTATCTATTTCCGAAAGTAAAATAATTAATTTGAACTTTTATTGAATACCCGTGCAGAAATTTCCACCCTTCTTCCCGATTTCCGACCTGGCCCCGGCCAGATTATCTGGTCCGGCCCCGGGTCAGTAAATGTTAGTGGCCCCGGTCGTGGCCAGGCCGGGTTGCCCCAATAATAAGATAAGTAAAAATAAATTTTTATAGAGGAGTGCAGAACTCAAGAAGGCTTTAGAAACAGGAAGTACACGTTAGGTAGTGGGGGTACGTGACAATTTGGTTTTCTGAAATGGGCGGATAAGTTGCAAGACGCAGTAGCCTCCTGCGCATATTACGAACAGGTGATAATAAAAAAGCAGATATTTATTTTACCGAAGCATATACGTACGTATAGAATCAGTGTTAATATTTTATTCTGAATTACCGCCAGATGGTAAGTCAACAGTTAGTCTGCGCAGAAGGCTACCGCGACTTGCAACTTATTCTATTGCTCTGCCTATTTCAGAAAACCCTTTTTCTTACGTATTCGTACGGTACCTCCCATTTCTAGTCTTCTTGGCCTAACTTTTGTTTTATTTTGGATACATAAATTATTTATTTCTGTGAATAATATGCCAAAACACAAAAGTACGAAACGTGTACGGAAACATCGACTGTCAACCCAATTTTCATCTCTGCCGAATATATCAAGTCGTAAGTAAAAAATATTATTCACATGATATTACATTACCAAATAAAAAATAACCTAAAAATAGAGATTTTGTATTCTAACTTTATAAATATTGTTTTTATTTTTATAGTTTTACAAATGTTCTAGTAGTATTCCTTTGAAGAAATCCCGAATTTAAGTTAAAAATTCTTTTATTACATCTGACTTCTTATATATTCTTTCACATTTGTTTTAATAATAATATGTATAAGTATGAATTTATCACTCGATCGAAATTAGTTTTATAAGAATGATCTTTCTTTCTTATATAATAATAATGATAACAACTATTTTCATGTATGTTAAATATAATTCTATGCCTTATAGCTTCAGATGATTCAAATCATGAAGATGCGAATGTTAATGAGAATATCAGCTCACAGCTAGGACAACAATATGATTCGCTTAGTTCCCATATGGAAGATTGTCTCACACCAGGCGACATTGATTCAAACTACGAAATTAATGAATCTGAAGACCAAAGTAAATATTATTATAATAATAAAGTAAACTTAAAATATTTTTAAAAGTTAATTTCAACGTAATGAACGCGAGATCACAGTGATTAACATTAGGTGAAAAGGGGGATATTAATTTTTGAAAGAGATATTTCTTCAAATTAAGTAAAAATTTATTTTATTATAATTCAGGGGCTGAATGCTATATGAGGATACGCGCAATGTTACGAAAATGGCGCTTATTCCCTGATATTTAATTATTATCTTCTTCTGTAGCCTATATTTCTTAATTCTGAATACAAATTTTTGTTAAAATTCTATTTTTGATTTAAAATTCCAGATTTAAAATTCCATGAATTTTATTATATTCAAATTTATTTATATAACGCATTAAATTTAAGTAAAAATTAAAAAAATTTGCTTCGGATTAATTTCGGACTTAGTAAAATTTCCTCTCAAAATAATAAAATGTACTATGAAAAATTATTATTTCCAGAATTACTTTTACTATTTACCAATAAAATTTCTTTAGAAAAATTTACTTTGGAAATAATCACAATTCATAACAAATTGTACGACGTTCGATTAAATTAAAAAAATTTTCATAAAATAATTAAGTGCAGAAATAGTAAAATTTTCAAATAAAAATCTGAGAATGGTAAAAATTGACCGATATTTCAAATAGCTACACTCTAAATCTAAATCAGTAAAAATTTTATTGATTTCAATTCACTGGACGAGTTTTCTCTAATTCTTCAGTTGAATTTCACTGACTCATCAAAGAAAATTCATCCACTGCGAATTGAAATTAGTGACATTTTCACTAATTCAGATTTAGACTGTGTGGAATTTTGCTTTTAAGCAGTAAGTTATTTAATATTTGTTGCTATGTATAACAAAATGTCTATATTTAACAAGTGTAAAAAATAATATAAAAACATCTATTAACTTTTAAAAGACTAAAATTTTCCTAAAGTTTGCAAAAATTAAAAAAAAAATTTTTGACAGAGCTACAAAAACTTTTCTAACAAAAAACATTACAATTTACGTGGGTTTTACTCTGAAAAAAGGAAAAGAGGATTTAGTAAATAAGGGGACTAACTGTGATCCCTCTGTATGTATTAATTCAATCATAACTATAATGTAACATATATAATTGCAGATGACGGTGATTTTAACGGATCTTCAGAATCTGAGGAGAATGAATTTATTGACGCCATCGATAATTTTGAAGAAAATGAACCTGACGAAATAAAGGAATTACAATTATTAATGATATATTAGGGAATACAGTATAATAAGACACGTATTAATTTGGAGTGATTATTGCTAAAATTTTTGAGAAAATTGTAGATTACTAATTTACCATATTTCTAAACAAAATCTACATATTGTTCAAAAATTTTAACAATATCCACTCTAAATTGTTAGGCAGATGACTACTGTATGGTTTACCATACCACAAACATTTGAATGGTGGTCAAATCGGGAAAAATTTGATGGCCCCGGTCGGGTCCCCAGCAGGGAACCAGATCGGGCCCCGAGCCATGGCCCCGGTCGGTTTTATTGTTTCATCCAGGCCGGGGGCAGGCCAGATTTCCCGAAGTGGCCCCGGTCTTGCCCGGTCTGGCCCTGGCCAGGGCCCGGTCAAAATTTCTGCACGGGTACGTATGCAATTTCTTCTTAACGATACTTTAGCGAATAGTAAAAATTTTAAACAATAAACATTAAACATATCTGATGAATGCTTTTCATGTTCATAATTTTTATCATTTTATGTAACTTTTTTCAGTATTTATCTCTTTATTATGGTAAACATTAGAATTAACCTCTGTTGTATCTACATTAAAAAAAATTGTTAATTTTGGCAAGCTGGCTTCAATCTCGTCTCTCCGTTTTTTAACTCTTCTTTTATGCGTGCCACTTTCATATTTTCTCATGATTACTTTCTTAAAAATACAATAGACTTGATAATTAAATGAAATACCGGCCGGCTAAATAACATAAACATAATTCTCGTCAACAACCGCACCCTGCTCTAGTAAAAAATTAGTGACTTTATTGTTAAAATTAAGTTACTATAAAGTTACTAAATTTGTACTAGAGCAGGGTGCGATAGTTGACGAAAATTATGACAATTGGCGAGTGGCGACAATGGAAACCAACCAATAAAAAGGCAAACGTAAAATACCATAGTTTACGTAAAGTTAGAAATACAGTATGAGAAATTCAAAATTTTGAATAGGTAACAAAGATTAAAATTCAAAAATAAAAAAATATTTTTAAAATTTGAGCCTCGGTTTCTCAATACCGTTAAAACCTAATATTTTTATTTTCAAATTTAGAGGCCCCCTGGAAAGCAAAGCCCAGGGCACTTGCCCCTTTTGCCACACCCTTAATCCGGCACTGATTCCAGCTCTGTTCTAGTCAAACTTTAGTGATTTTATTGTTAAAATTAAAAGTTACTATAAAGTTACTAAATTTTCACTAAAGCAGGGTGTGGTATTATAATAATAAATATACTAAGAAAACAGTTTTTCTTACCTTTTTTTAAAAAAATTCACGGTGGCCAATTTTTACTTTTTTTTTAGCTTAAAACAAAGACATGGAAAATTAAAGTCGAAAACAATAGAAAAAAGAAATCTGGCATGGAGAATGTAAAATTTGTATACAAACGCCGAAAAACATTATTAATTTTCTGTTTCTAACAACAGAAGAAGCAGGCGCTCGCATAGAATATTGACGCTTTATTTAATTTTTGATATTATCAAATTGTGCATAAAGCATAAGTAAACAAAATATTGAAAATATTCCAAATAATTAAATTTGAAAAATTATGTTAAATAAATATAAAGAATAATGTATATATCATTAAACTAAAATTTTAATAAAAACAAAAAATAACTATGTAAAAAACTGTTGGCGTGAATTACCAAGTAATCTACATGTAAAGAATCACTACCACACTCTGCTCTAGTAAAAATTTAGTAACTTTTAATTTTAATCATAAAATCACTAAATTTTTACGATAGCAGGGTGCGGTAGTTAAGAAGAATGGCGAGTGGGGACAATAGAAACCTAAATTATCTCAGGTAGTTTACGTTCCCAACCCTGATCACGTTCGAGAATTTATTGTGCTTATGGGCCAACGCACAATACAATCGCGAACGAGATGCATGCGTTAGAAAAGAACAGATATATATTTACGTCCTTTTCTATCTCATGAACCACTTTCGCGAAGTTATTTTGCGATAGCCTTAAAGCTGCCGTCCTATGTTGGCGAAAAGCGTAAACTATGTGGGTAAAAGAGACAAAAAGATATTATTATCTCTGTCACTCTCATAGATTACGCTTTCCGCCGACATGATACGGCAACTTGAGGCTTATGGTGGATACGGGCATGAACTAGTAACTTGGTATAAAGTTATAACGATACTCATTTCTATTCATCGTAAGATTCGTAAGTTTCTAAATTGCTACCAACACAGGGTTGGGTTAATGTCCAAATGCGACGCATGATAAATGCCCCACTAAGCTAAAATTTGTTAAGGTTGCTCTACAATACTTTCTCCACATCGGTAATTTTTAATATTCCCAAAAAAAAAAAAAAAATAAAATTACGTAAGTTACGAAATCATGATCAATTTCTACGGAAAGTGGGAGCATTAAAAATAAGTAATCAAAAAATAAAGCATACTAATTAACAAAATAAATAAGCTTAAAAAATAACTAATTATCGTTTTAAAATAAATTAATATTTTTTACAAATAATTTTTTCAACTTTTTAAATGATAATTTTAATTTAATTTATAAATTAATTTATGTGTAGAAGATAAAATTGATCAATTATTTAATGAAAAAAAAAATTGTGAATTACAATTCACGAAATTAGAAATTGAAATCTAAAATACGAGCAAGATCATTAATAGATTGCAATGAGAAAATAATTCTTTTTGGTTCAATATTATGATATTTGCGTAAAATTGAAAAAAAAATTTTTTACTGATATAGAGCCATTTGCTTAAATATAGATAGCTTGCAATTCGATCTCGAGTGTTTTTAAAATAGGCCAACAGATTCATTTCGTTAAAAGCAACGTTGTCGAAATTTATTCGTTGGATATAGAAAAATTCTGTTGAAAATTGATCACACGAAACACTTGTGCCAATAGGAATTTAGCATGAGGGCATTATTATACAATGTTATCACAAAATCAAGTTTTTCCCTATTAATATCAAATTTCACTTTTTATGGTCATCTTTCAATTTCGATTAATTGAGCAATTTTCAGAATACCTAAAAATACAATTTTCCAGCTTATATTAAAAGTTTAATATAAAATAAAGTTTAAACTTACATAATCTAATTGTCATTTTTTCAAAATAATTTCTAAATCAGTTTATTCCCTAAATTTATTATTTTTATCATTTTTCCATTCTGTAAAAAATAATTTGAGACGTATGAGTAATTCCTAAAATTAATTTGATAGAATGATAATTAATAAAAAATCCTATCTAGGTTTTCAAAAAATTAATTATTTAAAAGATTCTTCAATTAAAAATTCTGTAAAATTTAATTATTCACAGAAATTAACAAAAAACTTCAATTAAAATTTTAAAAATTTAAATATGAAATCTTTTGAAATTTAATTAATTTTGAAAATTTTAATTTAAAACTTTCTAAAAATTTTAATATAAAACTTTTTGAAATTTAATTATTTCTAAATATTTTAATTAAAACTCTCAAAATCCAATTGTTTTAATAAAATGTTTTTAAATAAATATTTTTAATTCAAAATTCTGTAAAATTTAATTATTATCTGAAATTTAAAAAAAAAATTGAAAAATTAAAATTTTCAAAAACTTTAAATCTTTTGAAATTCAAATATTTTTGAAAATTTCAATTGTATCTCTTACAAAATTCAATTATTTAAAAAAGTTTCAAATTCAATTTCTAAAAATGGAACATTAAATTTTTTTTTAAGTCTGTTCTACTGAATTAAAATCTTGAAAATTTGACTTTGTTTTATTCTAAAATATTTGATGAAAATTTTCTTGATAAATTCCAATAGAATTATTTTTATTAAGGAATTAATTAAACTAATTTAATACCTAATAATAATAGTTATTTGAAATAGAATATTTATAAACTGATTAAATTTATTAGAAATAAAATATAATTCGAGCAAATAAAAATTCTGACAAATGAAAATTCTATCAAATAGAAATTTTGTAAAATCGGATTAATGTAAATTCTGTTAAACACTAATTTGAAGAAACACAAATTTTGACAAAAAAAATTCGTTAAAATAAAAATTCTATATAAAGTAAATGTTCGGTTATATCTGAAGTATTTATAACTTAACTTAACTTCTGAAGTATGTATAAAATCGGTTTAATTGAAAATCTATCAAAAAATAATTGGAACAAATTATAAATTTGTAAAAATAAAAATTCGCCTAATTAAAATAAAGAAAATATTCTGAAAAATTTAAGGCATTATTCTTGTATCTAATTAATTTTAACTCTAACCCGAGCACAGTTTACTTGTGTATATCAAATTGATACAAGAATTAAGATCAACTCATGCAACGTTTTGAGTCGATATAAGGTATATCAAATTGATCCAAATATTTGGATCATTTTCAAGAAATGATCCAGAATATGGGACCATTTTTTGATACCTGAATTGGTATCAAAGTATAACTGTCATGGCTGGCATGTTCTTATTGACAAATTTATTAATTAATTTATTCACTGCACTGAATATTAAGATATTAAAAATACTTTTATTATGAATTTTAAGAAAGAGAGAAGCGAAAACTTATACTCATTTCTATATTTCTCATTTCTCATTTATAAATTTCGAGCAATTAAATAAGAAAAAATTTATTTCGAAATAAAATGAAATACACTAACCTTTATTTATGTTTATCACATAAGATTTAAGTTAAGTTCACAATCACAACACTTGAAAATTTTTAATTATTTTTATGGTTCAAATAATTATCAATAATTTATTTATTATAAATGAACAAAATTTAAGCAATGCACGCTTGATAAATATTTCTAATACGTTGTCAATTAATGCAATTAATAATTTCCTATTACACAATATCATAATCGACATATATGACATTTGTAAACAAACAGGGTTGGGAAACAAGAGCCCAAAATATGTTCATCCAAAGCAGAGTTGGGTAGGATGAGTAATTATTTTTTAATAGTTTTGTTAAAAATAATTTGAACTGTAAAAATAATGAAAAAAATTCAAATGTTGCGATCTTTTTTCAGACAAATGAAAATTCTAT